CGCGCGTGCGCGCGCGCGTGTCTCTGTGTTCGGTCGAACGATCGGCGTACACCACCAACCGCAGCACGGTGGACTAGCAGCCATCTTGACTAGCGTTTTTCAAATTTTTCCCATTTCCTCCCCCTTGTTCTTCCTGTTTTCGTCGTCGTAACGAGAGTCTTTGAAACTGACGAGTTGCATCGTGCCGTTGCAACTTCCCAACCGGGTGTGAATCAATCTCCGGGATGTTCGGGACAACTACGGTTCACTTGAAACCACTTGTCGATGCAACTGAAACATATACGTGTTCGCTGCGATTTGTTGATTTCAACGACGGTTGTCGTCTCGCGGATGCGACTTTTGAAAATTTATCGTCGAACAAACGTGAAACTACTTACTTTTTGTGGTATATGCATAGGCAAGGTAGGCGGGCTATGACGTCTCCAGGTTGTAACTCTTCCAGACAAATGACGCATTCGCCTTTTTCGTCGGATAGTATGTCTTCTGCGACGAGAATGGAAAAGATAATACGTTGATTGATCGCTACGACGAGTAGGAACGAGATGTTTTCTTTGGAAAGAAAGAAAAAAAAAAGAAAGAAAAGGGAGAGAAAAATTTTTCAGCCGAACGTGGCTTTGTTTTTTGTTTCGTCCGTGTTACGAACGAATCGACGAGTTGAAAACCGTCTATAGACGAGTAGAAAACTGCGAAAACGGGTTCGTCGCGAATACGTAAATTGATCGTTCGCGATGGAATTTCGTTGCAAACGTTGTTGTAACGTTTCGGGACAAAGACGTCTCTGCTCGAGAGATACGAGTTGCGATGGAAAGTCTTCCACTTTCCAACGTCCAAATTCCACGTGACGTGAACGTACTTTGTTTTGCTCGAGTTTCGATTTCGTCGACTTGGAATCTGCGAGTCGACTGGCTGGTTTCTTTCTTAAAAGGAAATAATCCGACGTACGCGCGAAAGCGCGAATGTCCGAAACGATGTTGTACGAAGACGATTGAAATCGATCGCGTTGTTGCCGAGGTGCGAACAACTTGTACGTTGACCGTACGTGTAAAAACTTGATATGCGTAAAAAGTTGATCGTGTGAAATCGGATGATACGAGATCCGAATGCCACTTACCATTGTAACTGAGACGTGGTTTCGTCAAACACATGACCAAGTGACATTCTATGTCGTCTGGTAGAACAAACTTGGAGCAAACGGGACATTTTAGACCTTAAATGCAAAATCAAACGATTATTCGTTCCGTTGTGTTCCGTACGCTGTACGCGTGGTGGTAACACGCGGTACCGCGTTCCTACGAAACTGATCCGTCAAACTTGTACCGTAAAAAATTCTCGTCGCTCGATTCGCTGGAACGACCTCTGCCTCGGATTCATTCGAGCACGAACTCGTTATAATTCCCATGATAAAATTCCAACGACTTTGACGTGCCCATCACGGACGAAATTTTTTCACTTTCCAATCGCGTGCCAGATTCTTTGTTTACGATTGTTTCTATCTCGCTGTATCGCGTGTTTAAAATTTACGCAACTAGGTTAAATCGCGATCGATTCGCGTACGGTTACCGGGCCAACTACCGCGACAACACGAGTCCAACGACGACGACCTACGACCTACGACCCGTTCTTTTTCCATCCACGATTATTTCGTCGAATTTTAACACCGCGACGTAACCTTGCTTTTCTCTCTTCGAAATTTCACGATAATTATACATAGCGACGCGTGATGCGATTCCAACTTTTCGTACGGTCGGTAATGCAGTTGCGATTCCTCGAACGGATTCCACGCTCGACGAAACTCGTGTTTTTCTCCAAATGTAACGAGGAAAATAAAAACTCGACGAGCTTGTTCGTCGACAACGGGTCAACTCTGGATCGTTTGACATGGATCGTTGCGTAGAAAATTATGTAATCGATGACGACGTTTGTATCGTATTCGTGTTGGTCGATGCGGGTTTACTTTTAATTTTTGTACCATTGTGTCGTACGTGTGTGTCGTATGACGTGTAAAATATGTATTTATACCGTACGTGTCGTACGTGTGCGTACGCGTGGCGTGCGCGCACGTACGCGCAGATACGATGCACGAATACGTATATATCGCGTATACGCGCATCCACTCTGATGTACGTGTACCGACCGAGAGGTGTATACGTGTGTATATATACATGTGTGTGTGTGTGTGTGTGTGTGTGTGTGTGTGCGCGCGCGTGCGTGTGTGTGTATGCATATACGTATATCAGCGTAACACGCAATGGTACGCTGGATCGCGATCCGTAGAAAACCGTTCGTTGTTTCCACCGTCGAAGCGTCAATTTCTCCCTGACGAAAAACTGACGAATCAACTTACCGTTGAGAGACCAAATGTGAGATGGTAAACTGTGTGCCGCGTAAACTCGTCCGCTCTCTTCGTCGGCATCGTCGGAATCGAGTTGTGGCAAACCGAGTGCCTGGCCGACTCCGACTCCGACCGAGGAAGCAAGACTGCTTTGTTCGCCGGATGAGAGATCCGGCACCGAACTTAAGGAACGAGCACGTTGTCTGCTATCTCCGGATACTCGAGAACTTTGCGATTGATTTCCTTGCTGATGTTGATGTTGCAACATGCCGACACCTCCGGGGAGAGAACGTAGCATGGAAAATCCTTGCATTGCAGTTTCGTTTGCTCCGGCGGACGATTGTCCGTTGCCTCCGGCAGATTGTGCAACAGTGCTGCTTGCTTTAGCTCCCATCCCAGTCTTGAGTGACGACAACGTTTTCCTTAATCTCGAGGAAAGCTCGAAAATTTCCTTCCAACTTTTGAAAATTTTCTCCCCCGATCGAAGGAGAGAGAGATCGACGTTCCGAATATTCGTCTTGGCAGTGATACTACGCGCACTGACACGATTCTTCCAAACAGTCCTGGTTCTCTCGTCTCTTTCGACGATCGCCGTCGAGCGGTAAAATTTCAATTTTTACTTCGACGGTGTTCCGATACTCTGGTATTTGATATAGGCCGGAATTTTGTATACGTACACTGCGACGAGCGAGTCATATCGTCCAAAAGCGTACTAGCCGCTTGTCGCGCAAAACACCCCCCGACATCTTGCTAGAAACTTCCTAGAAGTCAGTGACCAGCTGCTGCGGGATGTTCCATTCATGTATTTCACGCTGCGTACGAAATTTAATCGCGTGTGAGTTTACATGAAATTCCCCTAGTTCCCTAGGAAACTTGTTCTTCTTCTTCTTCTTCTTCGAAACTAAACGTACGCGTACGTGCGCCCGGTGTGTACGTGTGTGTGTGTGTGTGTGTGTGTGTGTGCGTGATGTACGTACACGCGCGTTCCTACGATACGACGATAATTTTTAACAATTGCTTGTTCGCAAAAATATACCGCGCGTACGCGATTCTGTGCAGTGTAGATTTAAATCCATCTTTTGAGAGATAAGATAGTCGAAGAAAATATCCCTAGTTGTACTCGAGTTAAATCCCCACGTTGATCTGCGTAGCGAGTTGATTTGCTGTTCAGTTTCAACGAGATGTACGTTCTTTCAACGTGAACGTAAATTACTCGAAACGTTCGTACCTGGCCGTAATTTATTCCCGGCTACTTGCTGCGCTTTTCTTGCAAAATTTAAAATTAAAACTTGCACGTTCTCAGCGAGCGAGTTACTCTGCAACGGTATTGTTGCTAGTTGTACCATCTATGTTCGTGCCGATATATACGCGTTGGACGCGAGCGACTCGATAGACGACTCGATCCGTTCCGATTCTCGTCGCGTCACGGCGTTGAATTAAAACTTTGCTACTTCGGATAAAATTATCGGCAGAAATGTCTGCGTGGAGACGAGCAGGGTTGAAGTAAAGTATTCGTTTCAAAGATTTCTTTCTGTCGTCTACGTCGTCTAACGTAAATGGCGTTGTTTCCAGTGTACGTTATGTAATCTGTGTATCTTTGCGTTTCAGTTACATCAATTATTCGCAAATAGCTGCGAGAGTTGTTAGACGAGCTTTGAAAGCGGATCTTCGATCGGAAGCCCTGAAACGTGACGAAGTAAACGTAAAGTTCACTCGATGGAAAGATGGCAAACCTGCTAGTGAGTACCGTTTCTGTCCATCTTACTCGCGACGCTACTGTAATTGTAATTTTCAATTTATTTTACGTTATATCTTGTTACACGCTTTGTTGCGCGTTGTATCGTTACGTTCTATATTCCGGTTACTTGAAATTCTTATTTTTCGAAGCAACGAAAAGGTACGTTTCACGTACGACCAGAAAGATGGACGCGCGACGAACGTACGTGACGAAACGTACGAAATTGTTACGTAAAATACATACGCGATATCTACGTTTCGCTCGATCGCGTTTCTCCTCAATTTCACGAAACGATCGAGTAAGATAGTTTGTCGATGACCCGCGTTAACGATACGATGCGTGTGTGTTTTATTTTTATACGATTGTTGTAACGATAATTTTGATTACAGCTGAAAAGCAACAATCGTAAACAAGTAAACGAGTAATGTTGTAAATTTACGATCACGCGTAAGTCTTGAACTTTGATTTTACGTAGCGTGAAATATTTTTGTGAAAGAACGCATGATTGTTGTTTGTTAACGCGAACGTTTTGCCATAAAATGCTAAACGTATGTATCGAACGATGTGTCTGACCCGTCATTAACCCGTACAAAGTGTGAAATTTGCGCGAGTACCAGACTAGTTGCGCCGTCCGTCCAACCGACGACGTGAAATCGAAAATTCGTTCGACTTTCGTACGATCGAGTGGGAACCGATGGGTACCTAAAAATCCTTCTTTGTGCAAAATTTTTCTGCAGCGGTGTAAGAACGAGCTTCCAACTAAACGCGTCGTGTATATTTGCGCGTAACGT